TCAAGCAACAATAAATTTCAAACAAGTTACATTTTCGTTATTAAAAAAATTGTCGCGTCTGTGTCAAAATTCTTATTTTATGTCTGATGAACTAGATGTCCATCTCCTCTTGTTTTCGAGATACAGAGCCACAAAATAAAATTTTTTAAATAGAATTTTTATTTACGAAAATTTCCAAACGGCGTAAAATATTTTTATGAAATTTGGTTTTCCGGGGTTTTTAAGGATGCCAAAAGCGCTGGTCTAATTATTTTTTGGATATTTCATAGAGGGCGCTAGTTATGTTATGCTACATTCCTATTAAATTTTAAGTTCTAATTTTTTTAAGGTTAGGTCTTTTATCATTCGTGCTCCAATTTCTAATGTACAATTTTATTTTCCAAAAATAATGTACTTTTGTTAGAACTTCCTAATGTGGACGGTTTTCGAGAAAGAGGCTTTCAATTGAACTCCTACAGTATTACGGTGTATAAAATAAGTGACTTTTCTCAAAGTAGGCTTCTGTCAAAACTTATTGATGAATGTCTCATAAACAACGCATACATTCTCAGTAATATTTTAAACTCTAATTAACTTTATATCCAAATTTTAGTGATTGTTAGTGACTGTAGTTAGTAATGACTAATTACAGTCACTAAAATTTTGATATAAAGTTAATTCGAGTTTAAAATATTACTGAGAATGTATGCGTTGTTTATGAGACGTCCATCAATAAGTTTTGACATGAGCCTACTTTGAGAAAAGTCACTTATTTTCTTCACCGTAAGAGTTCAATTAAAAGCCTTTTTTCTCAAAAACCGTCCACATTAGGAAGTTCTAACAAGAGTACATTATTTTTAGAAAATACAGTTGTACATTAGAAATTGGAGCCCGAATGGTAAAAAACCTAACCTTAAAAAAATTAGAACTTAAAATGTAATACAAATGTAGCATATCTAGCGCCCTCTATGAAATATACAAAAAATAATTAGACCAGCGTATTTGGTAAAAATCCCGTAATACCAAATTTCATAAAAATATTTCGCACCGTTTGGAAATTTTCGTAAAAATTCTATTTAAATATTTTTGTTTTGTCGCTCTGTATCTCGAAAACAAGAGGAGATAGATATTAGTTCATAAGACAAAAAATTCTTATTTTTTGTCGTACTATCACCCCCTGAATTTACGGAAACACCCTGTATATATTTTTATTATCTTCAACTTTTTGGTATTTTTGATATCAAATTCGAAAACCTAAGAGTATTCTAGAATAACAAGGGACTTTTGTCTTGAGTGACTAGGACTATATAGTGTACCGTATACAAAAAAAATGTGTTCGAAATGTTCGTGTTTTTTTTGCAAGATAACTACAAAAAATATAAATTCTTTTCTACCATTTAGTATCTAGTTGGCTTCGGAAAACAGATAAAGTAAAATTCTATAAAAAAATTGGAATTTTGAATGAAATAATATCAAAAACTGGCAAAAACAAAACCAAAAAAAGTTTAATCTATAAAAGATTATCTACGCCATTACTATCAAAGTGATTCGTTTCTATGATTGTGAAATCCTTGTGAAAAATCCTCTATTGTTCGTAAACTCACTACAAGCCTGTTGTACTCGTGATCACGTGTTTGTAGTGGCTGAAAATAGACTAATGATTTTAGGTATACCCAGACACAAAAATCGCAAAGATTTAAATATGGAGACCTTGCTGGCCAAGCAACTGGACTTGACCCCCTCTTCCGATTAATTGCTGTCCGTAAGTAGCATTTAAAAATTCAATAACAGATGTCCTGAAATGAGCCAGACAATCGTCATGTAGAAACCATAAGTTCTGTTGAATATCCAGAGGTATGTCATCTAATAAATTTGGCAAAATGTTCTCCAAAAAATATAGATAATCTTCCCTATTTAGGTGATTCGACAGTTGCACGGGTCCTAGTAGATTATATCCAAAAGAGAAAAGCAGTTTGATTGAAAACTAATTTATAAATCTGACATTCACACAACCACCATATGCAACAATTTGGAAATTCTAGTAAAAGCGCTATATCATAATTATACCTTGACAATAACGCAGGACATTTTGAACATTAGTTGTGACTTAATTTAGTAAAATAAATGCAAACCTGCAGAGAAAATAACTAATCTAATCAGTAATGGGTAATAAAAATTTAAAATAAGTATGATGTTTCAAAAACTAAAGGGTTTTCGAAGAAACATATTGTTGATTTTGATGAAATTAACTATGTTGTTAAAGTTTTTGCTCTTATTTCTCTCTGCTATACCTGTAATTTTACTGTAAATTTATATTTTATAATTTAAATATATCAATGTAAGTATTTTATAGAACTCCTTGAAATATGCATCCGATTCTCGGCACATAAATGTTATCAATGATACCAAACCAATTCATTGAACGTGAAGGAAACAACATTCCGTACCAAAACATTGACATTCCGCAGATTGAATATTAATGATTTACTTCTGAAGCGAAGTACGTATTCAAATTGAGATCACGAAAACTGTAAATATGACGAAAACTGAAAATGATATCTTGTTATAGTTGCATACCTACGTGTTTTTATTCTCTAAGGTTGTATGGGGTATTTTATAATTAATTAGTGGTAGTTTATCGTAATTAAATTATTACGATATTACGAAACTTACCCTAGGTCAAAAGTTGGTACTAAGATAGATACAGGATGTTATATGAAATATTTTTCTTAAAAAAAAAACTGCAATTGTTGGGACATCGATTTAAAATTTGGTATCGGAGGGCGTTTGAAGGTGTCAAATTTAAATATCATATAATTTTTGAGCTACAGGGGGCGCCACATATAGTATCTTTGCTGTAGAAAAACCGAAGATTAAACATACATTCTTAAAAACTTTGTGGAAACTCATATCTCACCGATTTCGAGATGCTTTCATTAAAAAATTATAATTTTTATCAAATAAGCCTTGAAATGGAAAGTAAAGTAAATGTAAGTTATTTAATTTGAACACAAACGTTAAGGACGAAAAAAAATTAATAACGAAATAAAATCTGTCAGTTTATGTCAAGTTATTGTGGTCTGCAATTAATTTTCTATTAAAATGACCCCAACAACTTTTTTCTATTGTCGAATTCATGATTTAATATGTGCCAAAAACGAAAAGCAAGAGGATTCAGGTCGGAGAAATGTGGTGGCTAACGCCTACCTATTCAGCAATGCATATAGTGCAGATTTTATATAATTAATTTTGTATTCGGCCTTAACCTACTTGTTCAAATTAGATAAGTTGTATTTCTTTCGTCTCTCTCACAGTTTACTTGATAAAAATTGCATAATAAGACAAAAAGTAGTTTGTTTATTGAATTTTTTAAATACAAATATCTTGAATAAGGTAAAGAAGTTCAAGTGCCTAAGTATTCGGTAAAAAAAAGTAAATATACTATAATAGGATATCTCAAAAATGATCTAATGGCGCGGTTTCTTCTAAACATTGTAGATACTGGGATAATCCAAATTTTCGATTGGTAATAGTCAAAAATTTTAAAAAGTAAATGTTTGGTGTGGCATAATGTATCATAAAATAGTTGGTCCTTAGTTTTTGGAAGGAAATTTTAATCAAAATTCGTATTCGGAAATTCTCAATAATTTTATTTTGCCAGAAATAGATAGCGAAAGTTTAGAGTTCAGAAGAAAATTAATATTTCAACAAAATGGATGCCCTATACATTCCACAATTCTAGTGAGAAATGTGTCCAGCAACCACCAATACGCAATTCAGTTGGTATCTGGATTCGACCGTGTCGGAGTGATTTTTGCGTACCACTATTTCCTTTTCTTGGGGTGTTTTCCAGCGAGCGTGCGATAATTGGATTCGAAGGTGTCGTGTATCGACATTTTGAGCAAATGTTATAGTTTGTTTTGTACTTGTGCATTTAAAAATTACTGAATTTTCCTTTTTGGTAAGTACCTAAATTATTTTTGGGTACTTTAATTACATATTTTTCAAATGCGTAATTTGATTAAATGTTCCTGTTTTAAGAGATTCATAATTACTAAAATTCGAACTAAAATTTAAGCACAACACTTTCTTCGTACTACAAAAAAAAAAAAATTTATTTTTTAAAAACTGGAAAACAATTATCTTGTAATTTACTAAATGTTTCAAAAATAATAGCTGTTTACATTTTTTCCGTAGGACAAGTCTGCCGCGTATACACGTAGCGTGCATCAGCAGGTTAAGCGCTGTTGTCACGTTATGATGAAACTCCTCAATAATAATACTCGCTGTATTTCGAAAACTGTTAATCTTACGCCCCTGTAATGCATAACTTATTCGTTCATTTATTATTACTCTATCTCATGCTGAAGTAGTGGCAGTCAAACTTCTTACACCCTGTATAATTTCTTTTTTGTAATGCTTGTATATCTATTACTTTTTTATTTTCATTAATAAAAGTCATATGCCTCAATAAAGAAATGAAACATTAAGGAAATTCGTTGTCTTAAATCCCCATTTGACAAAAAATCTCACTATCCTGTTAACTTTATTAAAAATTGTTACAGAAATTTGTTCGGAACTGTATTCAATTTAAGATGGATTTGGGACTTGCCACTTACTTCTCTCCTTTCCGATCTTCATCAGCCAGTACTGTGCATCATTTTTCTTCTTTCAAATAAACCAAATTATTACAATTCCAGTTACTGCCAAACGACATCATTAGCGAATACACCGTTCAAACGAGTACTTCCTTGCCTCAACCGTCACCAAAACAGTTATGAAGACAGATCTCAACGCCTGTCAATTACCAACCGACCATTGTCGGCGCCTGGGCCACAAACAAAGCTGCCGTCCTCTTCATTACATAACTCCTATTATTTATTTATCTTATAGGTGGTTACCGCAAAGTTTGTTGTACTTGTGCATCTAGGTAGGCCTGCGTGAGACAGCGAGAGAGAGGGAGAGCGGCGCTTTTCTTTTATTCGGCTGCACTGCCATGGCATACCGGGATTTCACGTTGACTCAACTCAACACACAGTCGGTAGGAAGGCCGGTCGTCGCACGAAATTGGAAAGTGCAGCAGCGAGCTGTCGATCGACTCGACTCAATTCGAAACATCGCGGTCTCTTAACGCACCAACATCGATTTAACAAACCCGACTGCCGTTGTATTTTTGTGTATCCAATGTGCGATTGAGATGTGACATTAGGGACATAGGTATTCAAGTGTGCGCGAGATATTTGGTTCCGCGGTGTTTGTGGGAGATTTGCAAGACTCGAAGTGCGATGCCATAAACTTTTTTAACTGCCAGAAGACTATTGTATAACACATTAACGATACATACAGGTGAATATATCTAATATTTAGTTTTAATGTTTGTAATGCATGCATTATTACAGATGTGGGCGCATTGGGCATGTTAAATAATTTGCCGCCCCTACTACCGCACATATTTCCGTCTTCTTGGCTAATTTTCGTGATCAGAATGAGGGGTAGATATTATCTTTTTTATTTATTATTGTTTTGCTCTATTTACAGTTATTTGTTCTTCAAACTAAATACAATTAAAATAGATTTACTTTTGAGTAGATACAAGAGCTTATGCTATTTAATTTTATCTCGTTTTAATTGAAGTTTATTATTTCTTTTACGTTTAGTTTCACTTTCAAAACTTTCATAGAAAGCATTTCTCTTAGATTTACGGGTTAGGGAATAAAAGTAACTATAAAATAATAAAACTTTTATAGATAAAGAGACAGATATTTTTATCTCTCCATAGTAGGTACCCATCTTGGGTTAATTACATTTTTTTCGCAGTTTGTTCAAGTATTTTGCCAACTGTGAGAAAAATTTCTAAAAATTTAATAAATCCTTAAGCAAAAAGGATCAGTCAAACGTTGTTTTTGTTAAATCATTTTTGCCTAATCAAAAATTTATCACTGAGGAAAAAGACAAATATAAAATCAATCTGCATTTCAAGTAAGTCTCAGTTGAAATTTCGTTTATTATCAGCTTCCACTGCTAGATATTACGAGTATTTTTCTTTCAATGTTTTGCATGCGAATTATTTGGTGCGAGATTTTTGGTTTCATAAAGAATACTCCTTTTACTTGATTGAGTATTTCTACCGCACTAGAAAGCAAAATTTTTAAGTACCTAAATAACCCTTTGTGGCATGACAAACTCTTACTCTTAAAAACTGTTCACATCAGTATATCAAAGATCAACCACTAGACCACAGTGTGATTTGTTTGAAAAAGAAACATATGTTTAAAAGTAAGCGGCAATACGCGTTGTAATGCCAGAAATAAGCTAAAGTGTTCGAGCCGTGTCCCACTCCATGTTCACAATACACAATGCTACTGACTACCATAAAAACACGTGCCACATACTCGACCAAGCGTCAAACTTACTCACACACGCACAAACGACAATAAAAATGCACTGCCAATGCCTCTCAGCAAAAGAACTGGGATTGTTCACGCTAGGCAGACAGGGCCGGCATTAGGGTGCCGCTAGATACGTATCGAATAAATTGATCGGTGCGAAGTAGTTGATGCTTCATGATTACATTTTTTCCCAATCTGTGTTTTTCTTTGTTATTATTGCAGGAGTGAATTTTAAGGATATATCCTGGTATTTTACGGCATAAAACAATTGCTATTATTATCCTCTTAAACATTATTTAACATTTAATAGTTTATTACTGCTACCGTTTTCCTTTGTTATTATTGTTGGAGAAGTGAATTTTACGTATATATCCTGGCATAAAAAATTACTTTGCGTTAAAATTATGAATAATATGGTAATTTTTCATTTGCATTCACCAAATATTGTGAGTCATAACAATTTTTATATACTTAGGCAAGAAGATAAATAGACAAATTGGTATTGCAACCTTTCACTTTTTAGTCAGACATTTTTTAAACAGGTCCAACTTACTTCCTGTATTTTATATTTAATTATCTGCGAAAATAAGATCCTTGTGGTATTCATCTGTACTTAAATAGATTAGATGTTACTGACATTGGGTAATGTCGTCGAATAACGGAAAGTTTAAAAGAATCGCACAAAAAATGTAATATTTTCTCAATATCAATTCTTTCAAAGGACATTTACTTTAAAGCAGTATTTCCTTAAGCGTAACTAACATCACATGAATGTGGGTGAATTACAAGTTATTAGCACGGAATTAGATAACACGAAACAATGAAGCTATAAAAATTTAATTTGCAATTTTCATAATGAAGAACAGATCGTATTGCGCAAAGTGAATATCCAAATTGCAGAACAAGTGAAACCCATTGTTGTGAAAATACACGTCCATAACCTAATAACTGCATGTATATACATTACAATCATACCTACAATCACCTGATAACTATTATTATTATTGTTATGACAAATTTTAAATGTTTACACATTCTGATAGATTTCAAATTCTAACGACCTGTTCATTTGCTAATATAAATGTACGTACGAGGTAGGTTCAGAAGGTATGTTCAGAAAATAATCGAACTTTTTGGATTACCTACGCGCTAATGGAGATATTCAGTGACATAGGTTGGCAATGCGTTGCCCATAACCTCCTATGTAACCACATGTTCCTGAATTGTTGATATCTCATTTAGTTTTCGTGATATTGTTATTTGAATGCAACATGTTTAAGTGTAGCAATGATTTTTGAAATATGCTATTTTCTAGAACAACGATACAACGTAAAATTTCAGTCAGTTCACGTCAGTTTCAATCCAATGTTAAAGTAATGCTCACCAGACCTGGCCCCTTATTTTCTGAGCAGACCTCATACAAATGATAATCCTCAACTAAAGACAATTTTAACAATAGATACAAAACAACAAGACCCTCATGCATTGCGATTATGGTAATAGTTGTTTCAACAGTTTTCTATAGTAAAATGTTAGTCAGTTTGTGAAAGAAGTTCGAGATTGTTTGCAACAATGCAAGAGAAACACGATAGCAAACTGGTAATGGATATAATTCTCGAAGATAGGATGCATCATAATTACTTGCTTCAATCGTTACTGGACGGTGAAAGGAAACTAAAACCGATATGAAAAAAAAATTAAAGAAACAGGCGAATTATTACAGTACATTTCCCAAGAATTATTAGAAGGTCCAGAGAGAAGTGGAACATGAAAGGTAGATACCCCACGATTGTAATCGCTGACGACTGCAGTTTTGAGCGCTTGCATTTTTTCTTTAGCATTCCCATGATGCTGTTTCATAACGTAAGTAGGCCATCTAACTATTTCCGTAATATTTTTGTGTCATAACGAGATACATGTTTATCATCTAATATAAAGCCTCACGTCTCACGCGTCATCGCCTAGTGACGTCACTATAAGTGGTTTTGTCTGTCTAACTGTACAAGCGTAAGTCGGCGCGCGCATTTTGTTAAATATTTTAATAATTTCGTCAAATGCCTGTTACAAAATTAATTGTGATTGATTGTACATCACTATTTTAAATATTTTTATTAGAATTGTCGTGTGTGATACTTTTTTAAATTTAATTATATGCGAAGGACTTATATTCGTGTTTTTCAAGACATGAAGCTTTGTACTAGGTCATCGTGACAACTTTTTAAAGTGCGCAAAACAAAGTGATTCGTTTTTGTACTATATTTTATATTTGCCTGCTTTTTTCACTATTTTCGTAAAAATAAGACAGATTTAAACCACTTACTAATTTTAAAAATTTTTCACATTTGGCAAAATACCCAAAAATAAAGAAAAACATTTTTTTATTTAATTTCGCCCGGTTTCCCACACTAGTCATGCTTCATAGTTCCTAGAAATGAGTGCACCGCTCTCTGCTAATAGGTACTGATTTGTTAATACTGAATTTATATCGTTACAATCTATTACTCCATTGTATGACGCATTTGCCACTACTGATAAGACGTCACTGACGAAGCGTTGAGACTTTACGATCTAGGCTAAGCGGTAATGGGTAGGTACGCTCAAAATGTTACTTTGTGTAGAAGATTTCTGCCAACCGATGCTTTAACTTTGTATTACTTTACCTCGCAGTCTTCTCATTAAAAACGGCGTTATGAAAACGTGAGGGCTTAAAAGAAAAAGAGCCAATGTAGAAAGTAATAAGAAATACAATCAGCTCAAAAGATTTATGGAGCTTAAGCATTTACTGAGGCGAGCTGTTTAAAGCCTTTTGTAATGTGATGCCGTACTTGACATATGTCGTATGTTAATAATCCTCTTACGGCTGTCTCTCAAGTGAAAAGCGCTCGCAATGAAATATTTCCCAATATACCTGTCTGGTGTATGCAAATTGGTGGCGGGCAGAGGTGTTTTTAATCGGTCAACGCATGACGACAATGATAGTCAATAACCTCCTTCTGTGTGTGTGTGTGTATCGATAATGTTTTTTGATTATGTAACTTACGGCACTTGTTAAAAGTCGACCGACGGTCTTATCCAGGCCAGCGAAAAACTTTCTCTCGCCACAAAGTATACACCGGCGATGATCCTCCTTTTCCTAGCACTTGCAAAATCGAAGGATTATGATAACGCGCTAGCCTAGGGACGTCCATAAGAAATTGGAATAGTTATCTGATGGCCGCTTGGCAGTACAAAAATCCATCGGCTGATGTTATTTGAAGTCGTGGTGCTTAAAGGCATTCTTTTCCTTCATGAAAATATACACGGTCATTCCATAATAGTTTCTATTTAGAAAAAAATGGTATTGGAATTTTCTTGTGATTTTAAGGCAATAATAAAAAACTATTGACTGTTGCATTCCAAAGATATAAACCAAACTTCTTTTTTTTAATGAAACATCCTATATATTTGTTATTTTTTCGGTTCCTCTCTTTTTCCTAATTATAATGATACAATCTGTCAAAAAGGTAACCGGAATTTGTCAATAAAACCAATATATTCAATTAATCATCAACATTTATTTTGTCTCCGTCAAGATAGGGTCCATTTGAAACAGGACATTTTTTTCAACGAACAAACCAGTCGTCAAAGCACTTCCGGTGTGGATTCAACTCCTTCAGTGATTTTTGTTCTATGGCTTCTATCGACTTTAAACGTATTCCATGAAGTGGTAATTGGAGTTTGGGAAAGAGAAAAAAGTCAGGAGGGCCATATCCTAAAAATACGGTGGCAGCTCGATGACTGCTGGATATGTAGGATAAAAAACAGTTTTTTAACTGCAGAAAAATTATTTAGAAATTTGTCTCAAAAAACGGTATGAATCGGAGTCGAAATCTAGTTTGGGTCATCAACTTTAATTTTAATTTAATTAAAAGTTGATGAAAAGAAGCATAGGACGGAAAAGCCGAATCGTACTGGAAACAATTGGATTTTGTTTTCTTCAATGTCCGGAAGGTTTTCCAAAAAAAAAAAAACAAAAAGAAACTCGAAAAATTTTTTCCCAAATCCGTGCTCGGAAAGAAATTTGCAAAATTTTTTGTCGCGCTATTAGAATTACATTATAACTG